AAAAAAGTTTTATCAGACGAATTAAAAATTCATCCATAGAAAATGTAGAGAAAATAATTGCGGTTTTTTTTTGAGCTATAGAACTCCTAGGAATTTCAAAAACTGAAAGAGGAGATAGATTTTTTCTGTTAAAAACTTTCAAAAATGACCATTTTTGACTTTTTTTTCTTCCGGAAAAGGACCATACATGAATCTATAACCACTAATTAATTTTTTAAGAATCATTTGAATCATCTTGGAACTCCACAAAATCAGATAAAAAATTCTGAAATTATGGTTTTAGACCTGCAATTGTGATCGCGCCAAACTTTTTTTCTGTAGATCAAAAATTAATTTGCAGTTCGAAAATGTTCTGTGGGAGAGCGTGCTGTACCTGATGGATAAAACTATAATCTTCTTCAAATGCAATTTTATCAAAATCCGGAGATGCGAATGGATTATCGAACCCTTTCATATCGATAAACCTCTCATCCATTCCGAAATCAATATCCGGATGGAACCATGCGAATTCCAACGCAGTTGTGTGGTTATCCTTCTGAAGACGATGCATGAAGGTGTTGATTGACGTTGCATGCGATCTTCCTTGATCCATAACTGTCAGAAGAACACGAGCAGATTCCACAATGTGGAGGAACAAAAGATTAATGAAGAATGTGATGATTATCATGTGAATGTCCATATATGGAGTAATATTTCCTTACTTTATATATAGACTTCTGTAGCTATTTATTATGGGATGATTGATAAACTACACTACAACATATACATTTTTTTGTAGTGAAGTCGTCACTGCTGAGAAAACGTCGTTTGCAGGTTTTGATCTGGGGTCAATGGTATTTTGATCTTTTTGTTTTCGTAGTTTGTATTTATTTAATAAAAAGGAAAAGAAGATTTATTTTATTAATATTTTCTTGAAGGAAGCGATTAAACTTCTTTCACCAGCACTGGAATATCATCATATTCCTTTGGATTATCACTGAACAATCGCTTCAATTTTCTATCCGCTCCACATAAATCAAGCAATTCCACATGGTTTAGAAGAATAAGGTGGCCACTGTTTCCGACCAATCGGACTACAAAAAAGTCATTCTCTTCGACTTTGTCCAATTTCGTCCCGGCAGTAATCACTCGAGTTTTTAGGTGCTTTGCAAAGTCTTGTCCCTTTTCAACGAATTTTCCCATTCGATACTTGTTCCCATTTGAATCATAAAACAATGCTTCAGGAAGTTTGAAGTATGGAAGAAGCGAGCTGGCAGTGATTGTTAATTGGTTCCGAGAATGGACAAGCTGTTCGTGTTGGTAGAGAAATCGAGCGGAATTGAACTTGATTTCTTTAAAAAACTGACTGATTACCTATATTTCTTAAAAACAAATAACTTACTGCAGACAACACATATATGAGAATGATTGACTGAATCAACTACAAAAGAAGTATGAGGCACTGGAACATCCAGGATAGGAGTATGATGTACAACTTCTTCTATGACACGTGGCTTTTTCTTGTCGAGATCATTGAGAAATTCTGAGATGAACTTGATATTGTCTGCTTTCTTCTTCGCAAACAACTCGTTCCATCTCTCTTTGGCATTCGTAATGACTACTCGCATTTCTTCCCTTGTCATTTTCTTTCGTTTCACATCATCCGGTACCTCGATTTTCGTTGCTCGACAATTCTCTCGAAGATGCATCATCAATGTCCGATTCGATGAGCATCTCACTTGACACAGTTCACATTGAATTATGGCTTTTTTGGCATCGTGAAAAACGTTGATGTGATGATCTAGTCTACCGATAGAATGGAACCGCCTATTACACTGAGAGCAACTGTGATGGGTTTGATGATTTCCCACATTCCAGAGATGGCGATCCCGATTTGCAGGAGGGATTATCCGTGATGTAAATGAGAGTTTTGTCTGAAAACATATGTATTTAATCTGACTTAAAATGTACAAAAATCGAATCTACCTCTTCATCTTCGTCGTCGCCTGCTTCATCATCATACGCCTTTTCGCGTTCTTCATTATGCTTTATTATTTCGTATGGAGCAACAACTTCAGACTGTTTCACCAAATCTTCCACCATTTTCCTCAACTGTCGATTATCAATCGTCATTCCGTGTGGCGGACAATGTGCTATCAATTCAGCGCAACTGTGTCTCCAGTGATGATACAGAGACTTCTTAAACCGAAATCCACATCCACAAAGATCACATACGTACGCCACTGGTAAGCTTTGAGAAAACTGTCCCGGTCTGTTTTGATTTGTATGAACCCCATAATGCATGTTCAACGTTCCTCGTGGCAGATGTAGATTGCAATAGATACAAACGGACGGTGTTGACTTTTGATCGAAGAGAGGCCTGTTACTAGGACCAGGCTCTTGATAATTTATCCCAGTTTCGTATGAATATTGATCGAGGGTTAATCGAAATGCAGCTTCTTGTATTTCTTCGTAGGACATTGCCTGGAAAAATGCTTTGAAAAAACGAAATTTCGGTTAAATAACACACCTTTCGCTCTTCATTGCAAAAAACTTCTTTCATTTCCGGACATGATTGTTTCCAATGCAGTTTTAGAGCCGTTAAACGAGTACTGAGCACGTTGCATAATCCACACAGCCAATCGCCAGTGATCTGTATACAAGAATGTAAATAGAAGAAGAAAAAATCGATAAATAAAAACTCACCATATGGGTTTCCATATGTCGTCGAAGCATAGAAGGCTGATGGAACTTTGCGTGGCATTGTGGACACTGATGCTCAACGGCCATGAACTCTGAAAGATGCAGCAGCGCTGGCCGAACGCGAATGCTCAAGGCCGCGGCCATGAGCGAGTGGGCAGAAAAGGGGGAGACATCGCTTTTGAGGAGGGGAGGTATGTTTAATTTCACAACAGAGTGGTTTTTTGTTTTAATTTTTTGAATTGAAAAAATCGGTTTGACGGCAGTGTTCGTACCGAGGATAGAATATAGAAACAACTGTGAGCAAGATTTCTGTTGGCACTTTGATTGTCTTTGAAGCATTTTTTTCTTGAGTTTCGAATTGAGAACATTTTTTTTTGCAAAAAAAAACATTTTTTCTGATTCTTATATAAGAATTGCAAAAAACTACTATCGAGCCGGTATCGTGTCGAGACCTCAGCGGTTCTGCTCATGTTCATTTAAGATTACGGTAGTTTTTTCAAAGGAACATGCGTACAAAAAGTGAAATCTCGACACGATATTATCCTTGTCAGAGAAAAAAAAGGTTGAGTCGAAGTGTATGCGATGTTTGTAAACAAATATCTGAAAGCGTAAACAACCGGAAACAGTTGAAACGAGTGCGACAGTAACCCGGCGAGAAAATGTTAAATTTACCTATTTTTTAGTTTTTCTCATATTTTGCAGCAA